CCAAGAAAGTTAATCAAAGCCAAGCCCCATGCCCTCAAATCCTAGCAGGCATAAGTATAGCCACTAGTTATCTCGGCATGCCAGCAGCCTTGGGATTTTTGAGCTTTCCTTACCCCCCACTTTTGTTTCATTTTGATACATCTTCTAATAACCAAGTTTTTCTCTTCTCCCCTTTAGGTTGTCAAACTCCAAACGGTCATGCAACCAGAACCTCAGACGATGGCTCCCTTTTACTAGGGACCCGTAGATAGGCCTCTGAGGGAGATCTGACTGCCATCTTCCCAAAATAGTGCCCCTTGTCAGCAGGAAGCAGTTAAGATCTGTCTCTGTCCGTATTCTAATGGCAGTTAGATGTACCTCTTTGGAGAAGGAATGATAGAGGCAAGAGGCAGAGAAGGGTCCCTGGAGAATCTCTGACCTGCCCCACAACTGTTTACGCCAGTTGTTTTGCACAGATAAGGGAACCTGCACAGGGTGCTTGCCTGCATGCCTGCAATGGACTGGAGGCCCACATGCTCTGGGGAAATGGGGTGGAGTCACCAGGAATTAACACCTTATGCAAGGAGGACCCCGGCCTCTTCAACTCATGTGTAGTGGTCCCGGTATTCAATTTGTGAGGTGGAAACCTGCTTGCAGGACCCCCCTCTCTCTGCTGAGAGCTTTATTTTTGCTTAATAAATTCTGTCCTCCTCACCTTTCAATGTGTCTATGTGCCTAATTCTTTCTGGTCATGAGACAAGAACCCAGATTAGCTGAGCTAAGGAACAAAAAAAGAAAAAAAAATGCTGCATCATTAGTGCTCTGAATAATTGTGTTTCTGGCAAATTTAAATCCATTAGGTACACTTAAGTTGAGAAAATTTGTTGGAAATATAGGAAATGCTCTGAAAAGGATTCCCCATGCTACTTCTTTGCAAATTATCTTTCTTGTTAACCAACCTGAAACTATTCAGAGAAGTCAGTGCAGAGAACAAAAAAGCAAGCACTTTTCTCAGTGGAGATAATAATCATCAATTAATCCTGGATTTAAAAAAGTTTTTAATATTATACCACTGACAAATAAGTATTCAACTGGGGAAAAATATGGACCCATGTACCAGACTCAACAAGAAAGGACTCAGACCTTTGCAGGAAGGCAACACAATTCTAAAAGGTGCTCTCTGTCTCTAGGATGATTCTAGAATCATTTTTAAGGGTGGTAAAACCACCTTTGCAAAAATTATAACAGTGAGAGAAAATTATGGCAGTGAAGGAGGTCTGATCTGGCCAACCTCAATCTTGCCTTTGTCCTTCAAGCTGCCCTTAATTATTTCTGGGCTTTGCCAGGCTAACTTTGGGAGACATTTAGTTGATAGTAAATAATAATAGCTCTTCTCTCTCCAAAGCTCAATCATCTTTGTAAAGTTAATGAGAGGGCACCAGGCTAGGAGGAAAGAGAAGACTGAATTCTGCTAAGGTGTAGACATAAATGATTACCAGCCATTATTCTGGAGGTCACAAGATATGCAACTTCTCCAATTATTCTCGCAGATAACATCACTATTGTAGAACCTAAGATTAGCCTTTTGAGATGTCTTTTCAGGTTTTTTGCGCATCTGAGGAGACCAAAGTCTCCACGGGGACCCATCAACTGCTCCTGTGGCCCTATCCAGAAGCAACTTAGCACACATGAGGACCATTTCCCACCCACCTGTGATTACACCCCCAATCAGTCAAGCACCCACTGCCTAGCTACCCCCACCCCTTCACACAAACTATTTTTGAAAAACTCTAGCCCCCACATTCTCGGGGAGATTGATTTGAGTAATAACTCCATTTCCCACGTGGTGTGACTGGCCTCATGTCTATTAAACTCTTTCTTTAATGCAATGCCGTGGTCTTGTTTTATCTGTGCAGATGGTTACAACGGGGTGAAAGTATGAAGCAATTTCATTTTGTCATGATTTTTTTTTTATCTTGAGGGAAATACTTGACACACTAATGAAAAAATATTACCTGAAATGGTTGTCTTTATCTTATGATCTATACCACCTTACATCAGGCATTGTGGGGAAAAGGTTCAGGTCTCTTAGCCTCTTGGGAGAGCCCTGTGACTCAGTCTTGAGTCTGTTTCATTTATTATTAATAAACAGTTGCCACCTGTCCCTGAGGTAAAATATAATTGAGGAGAGAGGAAGCATAAGCAGATAAATAGTCTTGCTTGACCTAGTGTAATACATAAGACACACGTACATACACACAACATACATACACAACATATACACACACATTTATAGGACATATCTACTAAATGTCTGTATTTAGACAGAACACAGTCTCTCTCTTCTTTCTTTCTTTTCTTTCTTTCTTTTCTTTCTCTTTCACTGTCTCTCTTCCATCCCCAACCTCTCTATCACCTTTATGTGCATTAATTCCTTTCCAGTTTTTTCTCTCAGAATGAGAAGAGAAATGTAAACTACCTTTGAATTTCAGTACCATGCAAAGAAAACATGTAAAAATCAGCATACAATGCATCTTCAGATTCGCAATTAAAATTTAGTATTTGCTGCCACACAGATTGAAAGCGTTTGGGTGAGGGACTAACAAATAATGATGGTTTAAGTTCATGCTTTATTTTATCATAGAGAAGAAAGTGATTTCATGAAAGAGTCACTGCTTAACCTACCACAGTTTACTGTCTTCAGACATCATTGCTTCTAACCACTAGATAGGGACATGAAATTTTTATGCCCAATCCCACAGAAATAACTGTTGTCTTTTTGCCTTTGGAGACTCCACATTGTTCTTCTTATGGATCAGCAGAACAGACTGCCTTATTAGACTAGACTACGAGCATGGAGGAAAATGTAATATGGCTGTATCACTAATCAGAAAAGGATATGGTAAAAATCTGCCTGTAGTAAAATGATATGGTATATTCAAACTCACTATATTGTAATAGCAAGAAGTATGATTGAGATATTAATTGTACTTACTCAATGTGGTATTTTTGATAAGAAAAAAAGAGCAATGATTGGACAAGAATTTTTTATTCCCTGGTAAAGGAAAAGATGCTTGTAGTTTATGATCCAGCATGTCATTCTCCTAGATATGAATTCTAGGAAAACTGTTATACTTGAGCACTTAGAGAATGTCCTTGCAATTATATATGTGACAGTAACTCACTGAATCCAAACATTCAGTCACACTATAGTGGATAAACAAAGTGAGGCTTATTCATACAGTAGAATACTTGAAATAAATGAATACATTACATGTTTACATAACCCAGTAACGATGTTGAGAGGAAAAAAGAAGTAAGCCACAGACTAATACATATAGTATTTTTCAATTTATGCAATGTTCAGAGACATGAAAAATATAACAATATATTTGGTGGGGATTCAAATGTGCAATGAAACGATATAGAAAAACAAAGAACTGGTGAGTTCAAATTCAAGGAAGACAAAAACACAGCACAAGGCAAAAGTACATAACATCAGTCCTAACCCAACCACAATGGAAAAGTATATAAATGTTGACATCTGTAAATCACTTTCAGTGTGCCAGTCATATAACCAAGTTAGTAGCGTTCTACCTTACCAGAGGAGAACTGAAGGACTTTGAACTGTGAACTTTCCTAAGGAAGGTAACTTGAATTTCAGATTTAATGTATAAAAACTGAGGAGAACTAGAGGGTAGTCAGTGTTAGGACAGCCAAGGGAGCAGCTGGAAAGGCGCCCCACCCAGACTAGGAGTTCATGTAAGGATTTAGGAGCCTCTAACCTCAAGAAGGAATAGAGAATACATGGAAAATGTAGCCTGGGGAAGAGAGTGCTAGGCAGCTACAGGTAGGTGGTAAGTTTGGGAATATAAGATTTTCCTGCAGAGATCTGCAAAGATGATCTGACTGAAGTTATAAATTAGACTTGGACCCCAGCCCCCCTGCCATCACCATGTCCTGGCCACAGACAATGGAGATAGCACAGGGCAGGATTTAGAGTATCGGCTGTGGAGTTTGAGTGGTAGTAGAACTGAATCCTTGTCTGCCTCCAGAGCCATAGAGCAGCTCTCAATTTCTGTAAAATGGGAATGATGACATCTACTTCTCAGGGTTGATGGTTAACTGTTCAGTTGTTATCATTACTAACCTATCCCCTGCTTTGTAGCCAGTGTGATCATTCTAAAATACAACTCTTGCTTCTCCCCCATTTAAAACTCAGTGGTTTCCCATTGCACAGAACAAATACTCCAACTTCTTAACATGCCTTTCAAAGTCTTTTGGTGATCTGATCCCTGCTTCCCTCTCCAGTTTCATGCATCATGGCCCTTCAGCCACATTAGACCATCTCACTTCCCCAACACCCCATGTCTGCTCAGCTTTGCCTGGAACACATGTCTCCTCACCCTTCCTCACCAAAAAAATGCTACTCTTCAGAGCTCAGCTGGGCAATCTTCAATAGGAAGCCTTGCATTTAATCAATATGTATATATGAGTATATATATAGAGTACACATATGTACATAGACACATTATCAGTACATGTGAATTTATCTGTATGATACTCTACCTTAGAATGTAAACTTCAAAATTGTTTTAATATATTCTGTATATCAACACAGTGTGCTTAATTATTATTAAACAATAACACCAACTTACTGTTTCTTGGAAGCAATTTTTATAAATACGGTACTTGTTTTAAGGTCTATTGGGAAATAACTTTGTTATATACACTTCTTTATTAAGTAGTTCATAGTTTAATACAAAATATACCCAATCATAAAACAGCATCAGACTAAGGATAACCATCTTGCTATAAATCAGGGTAGACTCTAAGTTTTTCTAACTTAGAGTCAACAGTAGGCAATGCTAAAAATAAGATCACAGGGGAAGGATGCAAAATAATTACCAGTAAACTCAGGAATTGCTGTCGATCTGTATAATGTTCCTTTTTGTGTTTCAACTGTTTTCAACAGTGTGACAACCGAACCTTAGGATTGCAGCCAGAGGGGCTCCTCTTACCTCTGCATCAAAGCGTGGATCCTGGTAGGCATCACTGATGTTCACTGGGAGGCCTGTTGAAGCAACCAGCTCAGCAATGCTATTATTTATTAGCCAGTCGGAGTACGATGATTTCTCCATGCTTTCTTTGAAACTATCAGAGCACCAAGGTAGGCAGGAAGAAAAGAGAGAAACATAAGTTTTCTTGAAAGCAAACACTATAAATTACACTAATATCAGGATAATCTGTCCTTATTAAGAAGCAGTAAGTGACATTAGTCACAGAACAATAGCAAGGTAATTATCAGTGGCTACTTCGAAATGACTTACCTGCTATAATGTATAATAATTAAACCCATGGGCAGAAACCATAGATTCCCTATGATTCAGAGAGAAACTCTAGGTGGTATTTAGGTCCCAAAGCTGGCCAAAATTAACAATAAGATACCAACAACTAATAAAATTCCATCAACCTCCCAGCTTACCCTTTTTAATTGAATAGACTAGATGTTTTGGCACAAGGAAGAATGAAACCCAAATGGGGAAAAATCAGGAAGTAAATTGCGAGTTTAAAAAATTACAAATGCAGCAAAAGAACGTATCTAGACTATGGCCTTTTAATTAGTAATTATTTGAAAAACAATTTTACTATCTTAGTCATTATTTTAATAACTTAGTAATATTTTAATAACTATTTTAGTATCTTAGTTAACTATTTTGGTAATTTTAGATTATGTTTCTTAACAATAGCACATATCCCACTTACAAAATCTCACTTAAAAGCCTATTTTAATGCAACAGACCCTTAACATTAATAATTAAAACTATTTTCATATTTAATTTGAACAAGGAATTTTATGCTAAGTGATTTTTTTAACTTTCCCCTGTATCACTTTCATGACAGACCCTACATATACAGAAATGCTGTAAGAATTAGTTAGTATCCCCCATTCTTCTCCTCCTTTCCATCTTTTCTTCCACAAGTATATATTGAGCCCTGCCAGGAGCTGTGGAGATACAAAATTGAGAACTGCTCAAATTAGTATTGGCCAGGAAAATTTTCCTGGATGATGTCTGATTTGTGGCTTGGCAAGTGATAACTGAAATTATGTGAATGGATGCAAGCATACTAGGGCAAGGTTTTCAAGCTGGCTTCTGTGGAACCCTGGATTTCATGAGATTTTAAATGAGTATACTACAGCAAGAATAATAATCACTCTATTGACTTTTTAATCTAAACTGCACTATATATAAGAAAACACTAAACATGCACGTTGTCTTTGGTATTATGCAATAATGTCCCTGTGTGAAATTATGCCATGTTGAGAAGGCAGGACACTGCATGGAAAGGCCATTGAATGCATGAGTGAGTTGGACACATGGACATTATTTATCATCATTAATATATCTCATCTGTAATGATTGCTGCCCTGTGTCTGATAAATTCAGCATGTATTTGTAAAGTTATTCATCCCTTATTGCATGTTAAACATTAATAATACATAAACTTTATTCTCTATGACTCCCTGGCTGAAAAATGGAAGTTTTAATAAAAAGTTGAGTCTTGTAGTTCTTAGATGGCACCTAAATCAAAGAAGTTAAAAGACTGAGTACTTCAAGGAGAAAAGGAAGCTTTATTTTCTAAAACAAAACAACAAAGAAGTTTTTATTTTCTCTTTGCTGTTTTATATACGTCGCATTTCATGAGATGAAATTTTATGTTGTGCTGCAATGAAAGCAAAATCTAGGAAGAAACAAGATAATGCACCTCACACAAAGATCTAACTTAGTGAAGCCATTTCTCAGTTTATAAAAGGGTATGGGCTAAATTCTGACCTTTCTTTCAGGGATTAATTGGCTTGCCAGTTCATTCTGCACTGTGTACTTTATTCCACATTTTAATTATTGAGGTGTTCTGTGGTCACACCATTTCGAAGCTGCTGACCTAGAGTGTTCTGTGGAGTGTGGGAAGCAGCGCTGCAGCAGGAGCTGGGGAGAAGTCTGGGCACAGAAGTCAAGGGAGGAACCTGAAAAATGGTTGGGTAGGGTGGTGCTCAAGGAAGGAGCCAGTTTTACCAATAAGTGCCAACAACCTTCAAGCTGGGTCTTTCAGGATGAGAAAGAGTTCAGCAAGGAGAGATTGGAGGAGTTAGAAGGAAACAGCAGGAACAAAAGACACAAATGCAGCAGAGTGCAAAGTGTGTTCTTGGCACAATGAGCAATCGTATGGTGGGAATAAAACTGAAAAAGAGGTCAAGGCTCAAAGGTGAAACCTTGACCAAGTTGCTGAGACCTTAGTTATAGGCAATGGAGAACTGTTTAAGAATATGGAGCAGGGAAGTGACCTGGTTTAAGATGTGATTTTAGAAAGCTTAATCCAGGTACAATGAGCATCAAGAACTGGGTAAGAGACACTGAAGGTGGGAAGAGGTCCTGTAAACCACAGAAGTCATGCAGGTGGGAGGCAATGGTGTTGGTGACTCAAGAGGTGTTGCAGAAGATTTCATAGGCTCTGTGGCCAGATAGCAGCGGCTTACATTTTGCTCCTGAGTGCCTGTGGCCCTATTAGCAGAACACAGTTGTTTTAAGGAGTGGGGAGATAGGGGAAAGATGATAGATATTCTGTAAGCCTGGGACATATTCATTTTTGAAAGTCCAGGAACAAAATCCTATCAGTAATCAGGACTGAAAACTCTAATCCAGAGTTAGGATAATTTTCAGGGAATATAAAATGCATGAGATCACTCAGGGACAGAACACATTGGGAAATCTATATCTAGGGAAGGGAAGGAGAAGAAAAGTAGTAATAAAAGAGGAGGGGAGAAAGAGAAGAAATTTTAAGGAGGAAAAACTTAAACTTATTGCCATCTACTGTGGGCCAACGGTCAGATTAGATACTTTACCTGACTAATTTGTTTTGTCCTCAGATAAATCCTATGAGATGGATATGCTTCTCTATATTTTATAGATCAGAAAATGGAGACCTAGGATGCTCAATAACTTTCCCAAGTGGAGATGGAAGTTTCACCTAAATCTGACCCCAACATCCTAAATTATAGTATTTTTCCTGTTACCTTTCCGAAGGAGTTAATGGATAGCGTTATAGCAAGAATAGTGGGTTGTCACCTAAGAACAAATAGAGAAGGGCAGTCCACACCAGAGAGAGTTTAAGGAAGCTGCTAAAGATAGTAAACACTTCAGTCTGAGACTTCAGTCACAGGAAGGGGTAGGAAAAACCACTGGAGTTGATAACTGAGAGCTTTAGGTCCCTACTTACAGAATTCCAAAAGAAGATATGATGACAAAAACACTTACTGGACAGGGGTTCCTGAAAAACTCACTCTAAATCTAAAACATGCTTAGAATTTGGCTTGGTTCAGTATGCATACTGAATTGAAATCATTGTAAAATCAGTGAACAGTGCAGAAGGAATATTGACTCTGTGCAAGGCACAGTTGAGGCGGTTTCTAAAGTATAAGCTATGATCTCTGCCCTCAGGGAGGTTGCTACTTGGCTGGGGAGATGAGAAATAAACACACTGACATTTAAACAATACAAAAATTAAATGCCCACTTCAAATTTCAAATGAAAAAATTTTCACATAGCTGTGTTGATACGTTGCCAAGTCGACTGTACCTATCACGAATGCTGAAGACATCCATGGAGGGAGAAATGACTTCAGGTGTTGTAATCTAGCTAAGGCTTCAGAGAGGAGGTGAGATTCAAACTGACCTACAGGTCAGTGCAACAGTGCAAACAGATTTTCTGAAAATCATCTCTGCATTTCTTCAGTTCAGTGTTGCACAGGGACATAAATTAAGGCCTGAGTGATCAGATCCTCAGAGAGACAGACAGGAAAGTTGATTTGTCACTTGGTATTTACATCACTGTCTTAGCCCATTCAGGCTGATAGAGCAAAATACCATAAGTTGGTGACTTATAAACAATAAATATTTATTTCTCACAGTTTTGAGACTGGGAAGACCAAGATCAAGGCACTGGCAGATTCAGTATCTAGTGCCTTCTTGCTTTAGTTCAGTGTCTAGTGCCTTCTTGTCCTCAGATGGTAGAAAGAATGAGGGATCGCTCTGGGGCCACTTTTATAAGGGCACTGATTCCATTCATAAGAGCTCTACCCCCATTACCTAATTACCTCCTCAAGGAGCACCCCTTCATACCCTCACATTAGGGACTGGATTTCAACATATATAGTTTTGGGCAGACAGAAACATTCAGACCAGAGTAATCACATTCTGGCTTAGGTACCAGCTCAATTTTCGAATTCCTAATGGTCTACTATAATGCAGAATCATAACACTGAGTTAGAGCTTTCAAAAGCTTGCTTCTCTTCTTCACAAACAAAAGGTAATTTTATGTTATGATTAAGATCATGGGTTTTGGCATACCTCAATCAAATTGCTGCTTTCTAGCAAAATGATCTCAGGAAAACTTCATCGGTAACATGGGTTTAATACTACTACTGTGGAGATTACGGTGATAATTCATGCAAAGTGCTCAGCATATTATTTAGCCCATAGCAAACATTTTCTAAAAGCATCACAACTTTTTTTTTTAATTTATTTATTATTATTATACTTTAAGTTGTAGGGTACATGTGCATAACGTGCAGATTTGTTACATATGTATACTTGTGCCATGTTGGTGTGCTGCACCCATCAACTCGTCATTTACATCAGGTATAACTCCCAATGCAATCCCTCCCCCCTCCCCCCTCCCCATGATAGGCCCCGGTGTGTGATGTTCCCCTTCCTGAGTCCAAGTGATCTCATTGTTCAGTTCCCACCTATGAGTGAGAACATGTGGTGTTTGGTTTTCTGTTCTTGTGATAGTTTGCTAAGAATGATGGTTTCCAGCTGCATCCATGTCCCTACGAAGGACACAAACTCATCCTTTTTGAGGGCTGCATAGTATTCCATGGTGTATATGTGCCACATTTTCTTAATCCAATCTGTCACTGATGGACATTTGGGTTGATTCCAAGTCTTTGCTATTGTGAATAGTGCCGCAATAAACATACGTGTGCATGTGTCTTTATAGCAGCATAATTTATAATCCTTTGGGTATATACCCAGTAATGGGATGGCTGGGTCATATGGTACATCTTGTTCTAGATCCTTGAGGAATCGCCATACT